GTGTCCCGTTGGGCTGGGGCAGACGGACGGTCGGAGCGGGAGAAAAAAGACGGGGCCAAAAAAAAAGGATCTGACGCAATCTTTCCGAGCCCGAACATTTGCGTGCGGCTTCAAAAATTCATGAGGGGGGCGGCTTCACTGCCAACAAAGGCCAACAAAATAATGTCCCGCAACGTATGTGTAAATGCCGTAATTCTCCTGGCTTATTCAAGGTAGCAACAACAATAATAATAAGTAAATACATGAAATCCAGGCCGCAGTAACCCACCTCCGCGCCGCGCTCTCGCGCTGGCCCCAAGACGTCCTCCGCCCCGAGACGCAGCTCCCGCGCGCCCTGGCCCCGCGTCTCGAGCGTCTCGAGCGTCTCGAGCAGCAACAGCAGGGCACATCACATGCAGCGTCAGCATCAGGGACCGCAATACCCACGGGCGAGGTCCAGCAGCTGCGCGAGGCCAACGCGCTGCTCGCCCTACTCGACAACCGCTTCAAGAACCGATACCGGGTCCGCGAGCAGACCTTCAGGCCGCGCAGCGCGCCCGACTACTACGATAACCTGATCCGGGAGCTGGACGAGGCTCCGACACGGTCTGCGTGGTCCAGGTGGATGACACGCATCAAGGGCATGGTGCGGCTTGAGTAGTGGGAGAGAGAGACGTCAGGGGATAACAACCAGACTTGTAACAAGATCTATCGGTGATGCGCTGTGCATCTGGAAACGGCGCAAAGGCGGGTTGGGTATGGTGTACAAAAAGCACGGCACCTTAAAAGTCTTGACAGGAGACCCCTCGAGGGGTAGATAAAGAAGCAACAACAAAACTCCCATAATCATATGTATTTCCCCTCGGGATCCGCTTGGGCCATAAACTCGATGCTCTTCTCGTACATTGTAAACACGATGCCGCCGCTCATGATCAGCCTCGCCAGCCTGGGCACGGCGCCACTCCAAAAGGTGAGCACGCCCTCCTGGCGGAATATCATGGACGCGCAGCGGAAGCTGTTGCCGTACTGGGACCGCGCCTCGATGCTCTGCATGCGCGTCTTGATGGTGTCGAGCGGCTGCGTCACGTACACGGTGATGACGCCCGCCACGCCGCCCGTCGCGAACGTGCCGACCGCGCCCAGCTTCTCGCCGGGCGCCGTGTACGACTCGGCCAGCTGCTTGAGGAACGTGTAGGACCCGAACCGCGTCGCGCTGTTGGCCGCCTGCCGCGCCGTCGTTGGCACGAAGCCCTGGAAGAAGCCCTTGATGCCACGCTCGCGCGCGATGATGGGGACCGCGTGCAGGAACCCGCGCATCCGGGGGTTGGCCGACTTGCGGTCGTCGATCCTAGGGTTTCTAGTCAGCGTTGTTTGCCTCCTTCTTTGGTCTACAACGAGGCCAGCTCACAGGGTCGTCTTGATGCTCTCCGTCGGCGTCACGGCGAACAGCGACTCGGTCACGCCCGCGCCGAACCCGGCCAGCACCGTCCGCGGGCCTGACATTTTGCCGTGCTCGTCTGCAAGCATCGACTTGTACTGGTCGAACGCGACGAAGCCTGACCCACGGATCCAAAGGCGATGAGCAGTCAGTTCAAACATGGCCGAGTTAAAGGCAAGGGCGAGACCAAGAAGCAAACGTACGGATGCCCGCCTTGGCCGAGTTCCCTATTATCAGCGTGGTGCACCCGGCATACCACTGCTTCCCAAACGGCGGCCACGGCAGCTTCTTGCCCTCGGCGAGGTTGCGGTTCAGCTGCGTCCGTGTTTTTGCGACTGGCAGCCCCGGGTGTGTTCGTGTCAGTCTACAGGAGAGAGGTTGTGATCTCGGGGCGGCGCGAACTGGACGGGCGATGGCCGCTAGGAGGGTCACGAACACTCGGCGGGATATGTGATGGCTGCAAGAAAAGGTGTCAGCATACAGTCGCAATAGACACGACACATTTATCTCTAAAGAAGAAGGAAACCCGTACCGATCTCGACCGCGCCGGCCGTGGAGCCAGCAATGATGGACCGCAGCGCGCTGGGGCCCTTCTTGAGTGTCTCGACCACCACCGGCGGCTCCTGCTCCTTCTTTTGTAACACCATCGTTGCGCGCGCCGGGGAGCAAGCCGGTGCTCCTATCGGGACTGGACGATACGGGATTGGAGAGGCCGCGGCTGTGGTCGTAGGCCGAAACTTTTGCTCGGACGCAGCTTCGCGAGCTTTATTGTGGCTGCCGGCTGATCATGGAAGCTCCGACGTCAGGGAAATCCAATTGCTACAGTGGGGCAAGGGAAGGACGAAATCGACTGCAGTAAACATGGAGCTACAAATAATACAGAACGCCGTTCGGAAACAAAGAGCAAAAACATTTCTAGAACGAATCAGGAGGGCGCGCAGCTTTCATGTTCGTTTAATAAAATTTACACGCAATGTACCGTTTTACTTTATGTTTACATTACCACTCGCAGTCTCCCATTTACATTTGGCAGGTCCCTCCGATATTGGATGCCCACTCACCATCGTTTCGAGGTATCACGAAAAGCACAAGTGCCTTAACACAGCTTTGGCTTTCTCGTCCTTTTGGCTTGAGCGGGTGGTGGCTTGCACTTGCCGAACCGTGACAATGCGGGGAAATCTGTTTCATTCTAGGTGAAGGTTGGGTTGCAGGCGGTTAAAAAATGCACGTTTGTGGCTGGACCGCGGGCGGCCAACAAAAACGGCACAGCACATTTGATGGCGGAGGCCGTTTCGATAGCCCAACTGCTTCGGCGACAGCTGCTCATAAAAAGGGCGGTTGAGACAACAGGGGCCTGCCTGCCTAGACCCGAGACTGTCCTCTTCTATGCACCGCAATGTATCTAATGCCACAAACATCGGCATAAGGTGCGAGCGCCTCGAGCGGCTGTCAATATGTCCACCAGCCAAGACGCAAAGCAGGCAGTGTTGGATATTGCCAAAAAGCATGGGTTCGTGGACGATGAATATTGGCGCAGACTTCGACAATTGGACCCTAAGATAGAGCGTGTATTCCAAGAGAGCTTTTTAGCCATGGGCGAGTTCAATGGGCATATGATCAAAACGTAGGTTGCAACCCGTTTGCGAGGCGGAATTGCCTGCTAACAAAAGCTCGGCTTTCTAGGCTCGCAAAGAATATCTACAGCAGCGACGCGCGCTTCGTGTTCGAGTTGCTTCAGAATGCAGACGACAGCCGCTTCCAGCGCGCCAGAGTGCGCGGCGACCTGCCGTCAATCGCCTTCCATGTGCACCCCGGCCGCATCGTCGTGGAATGCAACGAGGACGGGTTTACCAAGCGCGACCTGTCGGCCATCTGCGCGGTCGGGCAGAGCACTAAGTCAGGGTCCCATGGATACATTGGGGCCAAGGGGATCGGCTTCAAGTCGGTCTTTAGCGCTGCCTGGAAGGTGTATATCCAGTCCGGATACTTCTCTTTCTACTTCAAGCACCGAAAGGGTGATCTGGGCCTAGGAATGATCCTGCCTATCTGGGTTGATGGTGATGATGATAACGATACACAAAACGAGCTTCCGAGCCCGTCCCCGGTGACGCGCATGACGCTTCACCTCCACGACAAAGGAGACCCCGAAGAGCTTGAGCACCTGCACAACATCATCCTCAAGCAGCTGGATGGCCTTCAGCCGACTTGCCTCCTCTTCCTGCGGAATCTGAGGCGCATACAGGTCATCTCCTACGACGACGGCGGTCGCACGACAAAATCCCGAGAATTCCGCCAGATCGGGGACGCCGAAAACCATCGGGTGACCTTGGAATCTACTGTGACGGACCAAGGCGGAGAGGCCACAACAGAGGAACGCCACTTCCACGTCACGCGCCACATGGCCTCTAATCTTTCCAGGAGCCAGAACCGCGAGCTGTCTGGGCCGGAGGAGAAAAGCAGGGCCTTTTCCGAAGCCGAGGTTGTGCTGGCGTTCCCTCTCACGGGCTGCTCGGCCCCAGTCGTCGGCAGACAGGAGATATTTGCTTTCTTGCCAGTCGAGGACTCAACCTTCAAGTTCCTCATCAATTCAGACTTCGACACCACCGCCAGTCGACAGAGAATTGTGACAACGTCAAGAAGGAACATCGACCTGCTGGATGGGATCGCGGCTGCCTTCCTCACAGCTGTTCTGCAGTTTTGCGAACACGAGAGCCTATGCTACACATGGCCCATGTTCCTTCCCGCGTCTGATGACAAGCTGAGCCAGTTCTGGTCGGGCCTGCACGATAGGATCAAGCAGCTTATAACCGGGACGCCAGTCTTGAGGTCGCGACATTCAGCCCACCTCCGCCGCATCCAGGATGTTGTCATTTTGGCAGACGACGCAACGGATGAAGATGGAGGACCGCTCCTTGACTGTTGTGTCCGGGATCCCTACCTGTCGGATGCGTATCGATTGAGCTCAAGGCAGGTTCTGCAAAAATACGGGCTACAGGTCTTAAGCCTTGAGATATCGGTAGCCTTGCTCAAGTCCGACCTTAACAGCAGCAGTTCCAAAATGAAGGCGAAATCGACTAGCGATGGCTGGCACTCGGCAACCGCAAAGCTCTTCTCCAAGTGCTTCGAGAGGGGTTTCCAAAACCTAATCTCTGAACTTAAGGATCTTCCCTTGCTTCCATTGGCGAGCGGTGCCTGGGTATCCGCCAACAGTGGCGTGGTACATATGCCAATCACGATCAGGGGCATCCCCATCCCGCCAGGCCTGGACATGCGCGTGCTGGATTCTTCCGCGGCTAAGAACCATGATCGGAGTGGTCTTTTCAGACATCTCGGGGCCGTTGAAGCTTCAGTCAGCCACGTTCGGTCTGCGGTGCTGAAGGTGTACTCACCACCCATTCGATCTCATGTGGGCGTGGCTGTCTCCAAAGCCCAGCTGCATTTCTTATATCTCGCCTCCAGACTGGAGAAAACACCGTCCGACCTGAAAAACATCTACGTGTACCTGAAAGTCGGCCCCGCTGCATACCCACATCGACAAGACGTCTATCTCCCGGGCGGCCACGCATACGGGCCTGAGGCACTGCTGGAGCCAGCAGGTGACGCGCCGGGTCTCCAGGTTGCTTTTCTCCACCCAATCTACCTCGAAGATGTGCCCACCCTTCCAGGGTCGCAGGATCCATCGTGGAGAGAATGGTTGCTTAAGCACCTTGACATCCGTGAACGTTTGAGGATTGTTGATCGCAACGGCGACTCGCTCTCGGAAATCTGGATCTACGTTGCCTCGCAGCGGCCCGGCAAGCTCCTCGGGCTGCTGGAGCATGCCTGGCAGGACGAAGGACCTCTGGTTCAGAACAGCAGTGCCCTGACATCTGCGCTCAAGGATACAGACGCAAAAAGGCTATGCGGGCTTAGCTTCCATTCCGACTGCACACTTGGCTCCACATGGCTGCCGCTTCCTGGTCTTCAACAGAAGAAACTTCGCTTCATGGCTGCATCGGACCCGTTCCCCTTCCTTGAGCTGGAGGAGGCCGGTTCAGCAGTGCAGCTGACTGCCAAGTGGGGGTTTCTCGAGCAATTTGGGGTTGGGATCGGAGTTGGTGACGAGGTCGACTTCCTCCTCGATGTCCTTTATTGGATTAACCCTACCTCAGATGAGACATATGAAGGCAAGGCGCTTGATGTCTACTCCACGATTCAGGCCAAACTTTTTGGACTAGAATCCCAAGATCGAAAGCGAGCAATCAGGAAGATCCGGTAAGTAAGACTTGTCGAGTTGCGTTCTTTGCCCCCACGCTGACGACTCCCGCAGGAGTTTTATCGACAAATATGCTCTAGTAGTCGCGCCTAGCGATGTTAGCCACACAATGGACTGGGTTGCACGCGACGATTGTCTGTGGGAAGGTCCTCCCGGAATGGAAACTAGACCCGCAGTCAAGTGCTCCTACACATGCCTGTGCGGAGATGACGCCGAGAAACTTGACCTGGTCTCCCGTTTCTTCAAGCAGACACTGGAGATTCCGGATGCTTCTTCAGAGCATATCGTGCAGGAACTAGATTGGATGCGGAAGCACGACCAGGGGGACTTTGACCGCATTTACGGTTTCTATCGCTACTTGAGCAAGATTGCGACTCCCACGCAAGATACAAGGCAGGTCAACCCCGACTAATACCATCTCCCCGTCTGCGATTCAAAAGTTTAACAGAGCTGCAGGCTTGCGTTTGAATCCAAGCACCGTATCTTCGTCCCGCAAGGCAGCAGCCGTGGCTGGTACAAGACGAGCCAGTGCCTGTGGTCCAGCACGGCCGATATCCAGGGCAAAGTAACGCTGAATGACCACTACGAAGACCTGAAGGACTTCTTCCTCGAAATTTTGGGCGTCAAGACGCTCACTGCCCAGATGGTGTACGACGACCTAAAGCAGACAACCCCAGAGGCCTCGGTTGAGCGGGTCAAGAACACGATCGAGTCCTTCAGTTCGCTCCTTCGGGCAGAGCCTAGCAGCCGCCTGGATCCCAGGGAGCTGATCCAGGCCGCATTCCTGCCCGTCAGGTATCCGGGCGGGCCGGTCGTGCTCAGGTCTGCAGAGGCAAACTTCGCCATTGTTGATCGCGAATACTTAGGGGAGCTGTTCAGGGACCGCATCAAGCTTTTGGATTACAGCCTAGAGGACGTGCGGCGCCTGACCCCGTTCTTCCGGTGGGCCGGCTTGGAGCACTGCTACCTCTCTCGGTGCACGAGGGAGATCACATCCGCATCGAGCGAGTCAACACGGCCGATCAAAATGCCCAGCCGAAGACTCAGGTCAAAGGCGCACGCCATCCTCCGGTAAGTACCTAGGTACCCAGTAGCCCAAGCCAGTTAGGGGAGATGGGACGCTCCATGTTAACAGCCCTTCGTTTTTTTTAGCGTTGCTGCCACCTTCAACAGCCCCAGATACGAAGCCGACCAGAATGGACTGTACCAGCTGCTACGCACTGCCCAAATGCTCGAGACGGACAGGATATCAACAATGTTCTCAATATCTCAGGACGGGCACTGCATTGACGTCGAGCAGGCCGAGGGTGATTTGCACATCGACGAGACCCCGTCAGCTCTCACGGTCTTCGTACCCTCGAACAAAAAGAAGCAGGAAGTCTGCTACCACTTGGCCCTGCCTAAAAGCCTCGGCGCCTGGCTGATGCGGGATCCCACGACCCAGATCCAAGACACGGTCGAGGAGGCGGCAGTAACGACGCTTGCTGCAATACTGAATGCGTCCGCGTCTGAAGTCGTTATAAACTCCATTCTCGACGGCTGCGGCATCGTGAATGTGCCGCTGCCGAGAGAGGCTGGGACCGATGACGAAGCCGAAACGGATACTGAGGCAGAGGCGGAGGATGCGGAAGAGGACGGAGAATCCGCAGCTGGGCCGCCGGGGCAGCTGATCACTCCGGACGGGTCATCGTTTGAGGCTTGGGACGACGACGACGGCGGCGATTCTTCAATCGTCATCTCAACTAGCGTGGCGGCATCTCGACTGGCCCGCAGGGATCCGTCAATGCTGCGAGCGGTGGCTGTAGTTCCCGAGCCACTTCCCTCCGGCGAGGACAGGCAGTACATCAGGATCCTGGACGGGGTTCTGAAGGCGGCGCGGGCGGCCAGCTTCCCCTCGAAGGGAGCCTTTTCCATGGCTGCGCTCCAGGCTGCCCTGCCTGCGATCGACCACGCCGCCGGGTTCGGCAGCTTCGACGGATTCGATGGGCGGGACCAGATCGGGAGCAGGTTCCGGTCAAGCACCAAGCTCGAGCGCGACAAGAAGATTGGTGCGGCAGGCGAGCTATATGTAAGTTTTTGCCTGTCACCCGCCCTGCACTAAGCATCCACTCGCGCATTCGCAATATCTCCCCTCTCTCCAATGACTCAAACGCGCTTTCGAGGGACGAGACTGACAGGCGCAACGCAGGTCTTCGAGCTACTATCTAGGCTGGAGCCCGCCCTGAGCGGCTGGGGCCGCGGCAACTGGCAGAGCAGCATCCGCAAGTACGTTGCGGAGCACCAGGATTACGCGGACATGGAGCCCTGGTACGGAATCGAGACGGCAGATATCACCTATGCGGACTCCGAAGGCGACCTGACCGCCCTCCTCGTGGACCGCGGCTACCTCGACGGGGACCTGTGGCGCGGTGCTAGGCCGAGGTACTTGATCGAAGTCAAGTCGACGACGGGGCCGTGTGGCGTCCCCTTTTACATGAGCAAGGGACAGTACCAGATGGTAGGCATAAATATTTCTCCTTTTTCTTTTCTCTTTTTTACCCGCGTGTACAGTCTTGTTGACAAATGCAAACGGCTAACACCACCTCTATCCAGATGAAACATTCTCACGCAGGAACTAACCGTCGCAAGGTGTACATGATCGCCCGCGTCTTCGACATTGGGGGAAGTCGGACGGGAATGCGCGTGTATGTTGATCCGGAACAGATGCGGCTGGATAATGCGCTGGCGTTTACGGCGGAGGCATGGTCCGTAGTCCCTGGGCCATCTGCGTAATAGGACTACTATCCGACGCTTTTTGGAGATCAAGGGACCTTGCCTGCCATGATTTTTCTCTCTGACTTGGTCGGATCATGTGGCGGCGGCTCCCACAATACCGTTCACTTTGATCAGTTAAATGCAATCCGCACTCCTATCTCAACATCCCGACCATATTCCCTGACGCCTTTTTCCCTTAACCCTCCTTACACCGTTGTGAGCCTGACGAGCTTGATGATGCCATTTTTATGGAATGACTGTTCTGCCTCGCCGTCGTCGTTGGACCGGCCTGCTTTTGTAGTTTAGCACCACCGAAGTGCAAACCCTCATCACCTGCCAACCTTCCTGTCATAGGACGCACTCCTCGGGACTTCAAGTTCCTCCACAGTCTCTCGCTAGGGATCCTCTGTGCGCAAAGATTAGAGTTACATGGTGTCGGTCTCCCTGGGCCTAGCCCTGGTTCGGACGCCAGGCAAGGGCTTTACGCAAGACCGTATGCTCGTGCAGGCGCTCGCCAGCTTCATTTCCCCACTTCAGGAAACCCGACGACGCCACAAGGGCGGCAACGGGTCCCTCCTCGTCCTCATCATCGTCCGGTGCGCGAGCATTAATCCCGAGCGACGTCGGATCAGTGGTCAAGTAAGAATCAGGAAGTCGTGATCGCCCTATTCGACACCGTCGTCCCCGGCGGCATCGGCACCGTCGCCAACTGGGCCGCCATCTTCAACCAATTATTGAAATAACAAATGTCACATGCCTCTGGCTAGTAACTAGGAGCACGAGCCACACCAGGCTGCTCACTATGTATATAAGGCCATGACCTTTCCCACCTCTCATAGAGGCACTCTGCTGGATAAGACAAGCAATGCAAGGAGTCTTGAACCATGCCTAGCATATTTCAACTCCAGTGCTCGACGGTCCGCGGCGCCCTGGGAGACAACCTGGTCCCCGGTGGGAGGTGCGGGCCGCGCAAGGCCGACGCGTAAGTTTGTCTCTGTGTTTTCCCCTCGAATCTGCCCCATGTCTGGAGCGTCTTGTATTGCACATGGGCCAGCGGAATCGTCTGCATGGGGCCTGCCGCGCCCTGCGGCCAGCGCCAGCGTCGGGCCTCGCCCCCGAACGCCACGGTGGACACGGACGTGGCAATGCTGCCGTCTCCGGAGGGCCCAGGCGTGCTTGCCGCGGACGGGAAATGCTTCGTGCACTCGGCATGGGATGGGATTGCCCGTCGCCACACTTTGTCGGTGGCGTGGTGGTACGCCCAAATCGACCGTTCCAGAGTGCGCCGCGGAGTTCCATAGCTGTAATCATGCCCGACTTTTTGCGTTGGGCTTAACCAAGAGCGCCTATTATAAAAAAAAGTGCAGTATTCGAGCCGGCTGAGTGGTTGTGAAGCAACATCGTGGCACTGACAGGCAGGAAGATGGGGTCTAGAGCCAAGAAAAGCCGCCCCAATGGAAGAGCAAAGCACACCCCCCACACAAGACCCCGAATCCGCCATGTGCTTCCCCATGTTTCGCTTGCCATGACTTTCCCCTTTGGTTGGATCTGATAACAAGCTTGAGAGCTAGAAGAGACGGCAAATATCCAGGCCAGCTCATCCATGCGTAGCTTGAAAGTCACATCACACGCACGACCTCTCCCAAGACCACTGGGGATGCTCACATGCTCATTCTCCTAGGGACACGGGGCGATATCCGAACCGCCAAAGTCTCCAGGAAATTTGGCAAGCGTGCCCAGCTTGCTCTCGCTGGCCGCAAACGTTACGCAACCCCTCGGAAGCCTCCTGGGCACCACTTTTGGGCGTCGGCTACATATTTTTTTTCGCAGGCCACATCACCGGCCGCCTTCAAAACCTGAAGCCACTACAGCTCCCGTCTTGCCATTGGTATTTTCGGAAGTGACTCATATCGCCACGTCCGCGGTGCAGCGGCTAGATGGGAGTGGGACCCTTGAGACAGAGGGGGGGCTTTGTGTTGGTGTTTGGGTGTGGATGTGTTAAAGGACCGCCAGAAACCGACAGATCAACAGCTCAGCAACGCATGGCAGCCTAAAGGGAAGGCCGGCAAATCTGAAACCAATCAGCAGAACTATTTAGGGAGTGCCGTGGAGTTGGATAGCGTTGTGGTGAACCTTTCGCAGGGCGAGTGGTGCGAGGCGACAGTTTTCAGTGTGGTCTGCAACGAGGATAGGAAGAGAACCCATCGGGCACCTCCCTCGGTGGCTATTCTTGCTACCCATCAACTCTTGCTTGGCTAGATGGAAAGTGGAATCCTTTGGTACTCTCCGTGGCTACCCGTGGAGGTCTAGGCAGCGCCAAAGGCCAGATGGGAGAAGGCCGGATCGATCACGGGTATAAAGGGGCTGGCACCCCGGAGATTGTGAAAAGAGGAGGAAAGGAGAGAAGTATGGATCAATTTCATCAAGGTCATTAATAAGATCCTTTCTCCCAACATCCATCCCCTCTTACGACCTCAACTCCTTGGATTTGCGTTATCAACCCCAGCCGCCCCACGAATATTGCCAAATTTCTCTGTCCTACGCGCCGTGCCAAACATGACGGACTTCACAAGTGACCGGCCTCACGCCGACGACCTCAAGTATGATGCCTTGGTTTCATTCTTTCATGTCGACATTCCCCGCCGCTAATACTTGTAAATACCAGGCCCACCGACACGATAATCGCCGTTATGGGCATTACAGGGTCCGGAAAAAGCACCTTTATCAAACTGTTCAACGAGGGTGCGGTCATCGGAGACAACCTTGCATCTGGTATGTTTTATTGAGTGGATTGATTTTCCTCTTTCTCGCCAATTGATGGCAATAATACTTTGCGCAATACTGATGTTAATAATTCCAACCCGTCGTTAGAGACCGCAGATGTCCAGGTCTTCCCGGCCAGGATTGGCAGACGGGAATTCTACCTGGTCGACACACCAGGCTTCGACGATACGCAGAGAACTGACGTCGACGTGCTTCGTTCGCTGGTCAACTGGCTGGGGACAACACACCAACGCAATGTGCACCTGGCGGGCATTGTGTACCTCCACCGCATCTCCGACCCGCGCATGGGCGGCTCGGCCATGAAGAACCTCCGCATGTTCAAGAAGCTCTGCGGGAAGGATGCCCTTGAGCGCGTCGTCCTCGCCACTACCATGTGGGGTAGTAGGGTCAGCGAAAATGACGGGGCGCGGCGGGAGGAGCAGCTGAGGACGAAGGAGGACTATTGGGCGGCATGATCCAGCAAGGCAGCACGATGATGCGGCAGGACGACGGGTTGCCCTCGGCGACCCTCATCATCGAGCACATCATCAACAAGCACCAGTCGAACAAGAGAGATCCCAGCCTCGAGGTCCAGAAAGAGATGGCCAACGGCAAGAAGCTGGACGAGACTTCGGCGGGCATGGAGGTCGAGGCCGAGATGAACCGACTGCGTGCCAAGTTCGAGGAGGAGAAGCGCGATTTACGGCGGGAGCTAGAGGAGGCCAGAAGGGACCAAGACGAGGCCACCCAAAAAGAGATAAATAGGGCAAGGACCGATTTGGACGCCAAGATGAAGAAGGTGGAGGAGGACCGAGAAAACATGCGCGTCAATCTGGAGGAGCTGCAAAAGCAGCGCGATGAAGAGACGAGGGCGTATTTCGAGCAGAAGCTCGAGGAGGCAGAAAGGAAGATTGAAAAGGCCACGGCCGCCCTCAATTTCGAGAGGCAGAAGAGACGGGAACAAGACGTTCGGATCCGCGACACTGGCGAACGAGAAGCGGAGTGGGATCGCGAACTGAGAGATGCTCGTACAAGATACGAGCAAGAGACGGAGCGAGTCAAGGGGAAACTCGCCGAGACGGAGGAGCGGCTACGGAAAAGGGGGTTCAGGGCGGTGATCACGGGGAAGATCATCAAGTATGTTAAAGGCTGGACTGGTTAATTGGCTGGTATTTAGGTGAGCGGATATGTAGGCAAGTAGGTAGATACCACCGAATTGCAACTTTCATTGCGTGCCAACTCCGCCGAACAAATTTCGCAGCGTAACAGTTGTGCTGTTGTATGAAACAATCATACCTTGTTGGCAGGCAGCCCAGAAATAGTCGCAACAGCGCCATGCTCGCTGTAAGCGGCAGGCGTGCACGCTATGGAAGGCTGTGAGGAATTGTCATGTACTATGTAGGTACCTGCCCACTAATCTGCACATTTGTATCTCCTCCACGGTCCTGCGCCTATCTGCCATCGTCTCCTCCTCGACGACGATTCGCCTTCTCAGAATCACCACCCCCACCCCGCGCCCGCGCCCGATCCCTGGCATCATCCCGTCCACCACCATGCTTGGACCTGGTCTCGCCCGCGTCCTCGGCCGCCGCCTTGCGCTGGGTCCCGGCATCCGACCGAGATCGAGAGCGGGACCGGGAAAGGGAGCGGGAATGAGAGATGGATGGCGACCGGGCGGCCCGTTGTTTCTTCGAGCTCGAATTGCCGCCGCCGCCGCCGCCATTACGGTCGCGCGCGTCTCCTCCCAGACCCGAGCGGCGCGAGTCGCGGGGCGGTACGGGTGAGTAGTTGTTGTCAACGCGTCGCCGAGAAGCTCCCTTCTCGCCGCGCTTGCCGTCTCTGTCGTTCCCTCCTCCTCTTCTGCTGTCGAGGTCATCATAATCATCATCATAATCGTTATCATCATTATCATGGCCCCCATCGTCGTACTCATTGTAGTCGCGGCGACGGTTCTGCTGCTTGCCCCGACGGCCCTGGCTGCGTCGCCCCTGGTGACCGGGCTCCCGCTCGGGGAAGTCCCGCTCCTCCCGCTCGAGGGCGAGCTTGGCATCCGTCTTTTTGAGGAATTTTGCCCTTATACGGTCGAACTCGGCCGTCATTTCCCGCACGCGCTCGAAATGCGTCCTGCCGATAAACGTCCCGTCGTTGTCGCCGTCATCGTTATCGTCGTCGTAATCCTCCCCGACGTCGCCGTCGCCGTAGCCGCCGCCGCCGCCGCCGCTGCGGAGCCTTTTTTCCCGGTCCGCTTTGGCGAGCTTGCGCCGCTTATTGTGCGTCAGCGACGCCGCGATTTAAAAGGCGTTCCGGATTTGTCGTCCGTTCCACCACGCCGCGGGGCCTTCTTTGTAGTAGGCTTTGGCGAACCTTATAATTTCCTTGCTTCGGACTTCCATTTCGGGGATGTTTCCGCCGCTTTCGATTGCGCCCTGACACCGTCTGATGGCATTGTATGATGCTATGGCAGGACGTGGTCCGGGTGTACGCCGGCGTCCAGCAAGAGCCGGACCGTGTCGCAGCGCCCCTTATATCTGCCAGGTGCAGCGACTGTGTCAGCGGGGTACCCAAGCCGTCCTCCTCTGAAATGACATCCGGCAAACACTGATACCACTTTTCCATTGTCCGCTTAACATGGTGACAGCCTGAGGAGACGAGGCAAAGGAGTTGCATTTTGTTGGTAAGCATAATCCGGGAAAGGCTGAGCGTGGATTTTGGTCACTTACTTGCCGCAAACGCAGCCCTAAAATGCTGTTACATCTTCCCTCGACGAAATCAGCGACCGGGATCTCAGAGCAGGATTTGGTGACGCCTTCCAGTAGCCCCCTGGCCGAAGAACTATCAGGGTCTAGATATGGCGCCATTCCAAAAGTGGAAGACACAGTAAAGCCTCCCTAGGACTGTATATTCGGAGTCTCGATGAGGTGTCTCCAGGAAAATAATACTTGCAAAGCTGCTCTTGACCCTTTCGTTACGTTTCCTTGTTATCTCGCCCTGGCCGGTGGGGGTGCGAAGCGGTTACGAGTGCCTAGATGGGAAGCCGATTCACGTCAGCTCAAGCAACTCGCAGAGCGACGAGAGGTCGGCGTTCTTGCTGTTCTGTAGGGCCTTGCCGTTGCTAAATGTCACCACCTTAGGCGGGTTCTCGATCTAGTACGCAGCCACGATGTCCGGGTGCTTGCCCACATCGACCCGCGCGGGGGAGAGCTCGAGTCTCCCCCCTGGAGCATGCCGCTAGATAATACCCAAGTATATTATAACAAGGGATTAACACAGAGAAGCCCGAGGAGGGCAATTACACACCGACTCAATGACAAGACCGCCGAAACTATAACCGATGAGTATAATTGGACGTGTTCTTTGCTCGTCTATATTCCTTACGACATTCAAAGCACTCAGAAGGTCGCGGTCATGATCTTCCAGTGTCTTGACTAGCGCCTCACTTTTCCATTTGAAATTGTACCGAAACGTCATTATTCGGGCGCCCGCGGTGTCATTCCCCAAGTGTCACTCATTGCTGGTGGCAGCGGCGGGCTAACCGCCCTCGTCGCTGTCTCCGAAGGGCTCCCCGTTACCCGGCGACGCGGACCGCGAGCTCGTTTCAGCCGACAGTCTCGCTCCCTCCTCTTGCACGTGCCAGCCTTCATTCTGGGGGCTGTCCGGGCCGATTTCGTCACCGATAACGACGAAAGAGCCGTGCGATGGGGGATGCAACCTGTCGCGGGATCCATAGCACATAAAGCAAAGGTGGTAGCCCTCACACTCGCCGCACCGGTAGATGGCGCCGGTCATTTTCTGAAAGAGGAAGGTGCCACTGTCTCAGTTTCTGTCGCTGTTGCCCCGAGCCCGACTATGCCGAGCCTGTCGAGTACGTGGCGGACGAGTGCTGGCTTGCCGCTGGCGGCGGCATAGTGCAGGGGAAGGCGGCCCGCGACATCCCGCACGCTGCCCAGCAACCTAGATACGGTTACGGTTACGGCGTCGTCTATTCCGACTACAGCCCCTTCACCCGCCGGCTCTCCATCGCCCTCTTGGGCAGCTTTCCCTCGATTTGCGGTGGTGCCCAGGGGATCCGTTTTCACGCGGGCGAGGGCCGCGTGGCCAGACAATACGGCATCGATGGAGCGGGCGTCGCGGCGGCAGGCGAGGTGGAGAGGGGGGCGCAGGGCTGGGCTGTCGCACACGTCGACGCGCGCGCCGCAGCCGCGGATCAAGAACTCGACGGCGCCGAGTGGCGCCGCCACGCAAGCCGCGTTGATGACTTATCCGGCGCCGTCCTTTAACGGCCTCGGCGGGTTCAGCTCTACGCCGTTCTCGAGGAGCATCTTGATCAGGCCAACCACCTCGGCGGCGTGGGGCGTTATGTCGGCGGCGGTGGCGGTTCCTGTTGTTTGGTGGGAGTTCGACGGCTGCTTTAACGAAGCCTCGGGCCGATGGCAGACGGTCTGGGAGGGGGGGGGG